CTAGGACCTCAGAACCATTGCTTTGTTTTTGCTTTGGCAAAGGTTTTTTTGTTTGTTTGGTTGGTTTTTTGTTTGTTTGTTTTTTAGTCTTTTAAAATAGACACAAATTTGTTTAAAGCTTTTTTTTTAAGACAGAGTTTCACTTTTGTCACCGAGGCTGAAATAAAATGGCACGATCTCAGCTCACTGCAACCTCCACCTCTCAGTTCAAGTGATTTTCCTGCCTCAGCCATTCAAGTAGCTGGGATTAGAGGCTCCTGCCACCACCCCTGACTACTTTTTTGTATTTTTAGTGGAGATGGGGTTTTGCCATGCTGGCCAGGTTAGTCCCAAACTGCTGACCTTAGGTGATCCACCCGCCTTGGCCTGCCAAAGTGCTGGGATTACAAGCATGAGCCACCACACCTGGCTGTTTAAAGCTTACTTTAAGAGCACACAAAAGTTGAGCACAAAGATAAGATTAAATTTTGCAACACAGAATGATAAAGAATTAAAAGGATACTCAGTAAATTTTGTTGACAGAAAACTGATTATCCAAGGTAATTATCTCGTATTTACAGACTGAAATACTTACACTGCAAAGGCAAGAACAGTTCAGTTTATTCACTAAATAGTGGAGTCTGTAGCTGTACCTTGGTTTCTGTTACTTCAGTACAATTAGTATAGTTAGGTATAGTGTTTGTAGACAACTTGCATTCACATAAATTAGATAACATTTTGTACAATAGTATGAATAGAAGGCCACAATATTTGAATAAATCCCTTAATTAGTCATTTTAATATTGTTATTTATACTCTTGAACTATAAAGTGTTTTAACTGAATTATGGTTATTGATATTTTTAAAGTTCTACATACATTATGACAAGTACTTTAAAATTATTATACTTAGATATTTATAGCTAATATCCAAAGAAAATTCACTACAAAATTGTTATAGTAGATATTAGTTTGACATGCTTATTAATTTATCCAATAGGGATAATTATAGGTAAACATGGTTTGTGTCTTTCATTTCACTAAATTCGAATGCTGCTATTACAGGACAAATAAACATGATGGGTGATGTGACGACCCAAAACCATAATAACTCTTCAGTTAGCTATGTTGCAAGCTCAAATATATTCCACTGTATAACAAAGTCAGATTCCAGTTTTTCATGAAAAAGTGCTGGTGAAAATTGTCAGATGTATTCCAGTATAGATCCCCAATTCACCGGTTAGGAGATGGGAGGGCAGAAGACATGAAAAAGAACCCTTGTAAAATCATGCTGAGAGCATGCCTTTTTTTTCATAATGCTCATGTTTCTCATGCTGACATGCTGAGAGTAGCTGTGCATTCTGAGTGTTTTGTGAAAAATTCCTTTTGGGGGACTATCTTCTGACCAAGTTTGTTAGTCTTACATCTAATCTGAGTTTTTTCTTGAAGATGCCTTTAACTTATTTTTTCTTTCAATATAATCTTGCTCAGATTGAGAGCTGTTTTTCTCTCCAGTGCTTTGGGTGTCTGTTTCAGAAGCCCTGTTAGTATCCCATGGTCTCTATGAATGAGATGGGTTGTCACACGGAGAATTCTTGGAGCTATCTCTATCTGGATTCATGCTGGAAATCTAGCAGTATTTTTTTTTTTTTATGTCACCATTATAAATAGAAACTGAGGCTGAAATACTGCTCCCATTCCCATTACTGTGAAGGTGCAGTTCTTCTGAGAGTAAATTGTGAAGGAGCCTTGCAGGCTCTTCTCCCTGCAGCCCAAGCTTCACTCTCTGATGTGACACTAGAATGCTGCTGTGGCATTGGGGTTCATGTAAGATGTGAGCTAGCAGCTTTGAGCTGTGTGTTATGGACTGTGTCTCAGTGGAAGTTGGTAGGCGTAAAGAGAGGACCCTGGCCATCAGGAGAACGCAAGCAGTGTGCTCGAACCCAGTCCTCGGGGAGTAAAGAGCCATTGCTTTAAAATGCATATAGCCAAAACCATAACACCCTATTCAACAATTTCAGTAGGAGAGTGAGAGCCTATCTTATCAGCAGGGTCCTGGCTTCAAGTTTCAAAATTACCTCCTGTCGTGAAAATGTAAAAGTTTATTTTGTTATTGCATAACCAATTAGCATACATGGATGGCCTCCCTAATTACCAGTGAATTTAGGATACATGACATCGTGCTGTAAATTCTTCTACTTTTGGACTAGTTATGGTGATTCTCTCTCTGTCTTTCCAATCTCTTAAGCAGATTCACTGTGATGCATGTCCTATTCTGGTTTAATTTTGTAATAAAACAGTATACTTTCTGTTCTATCATTGTGGAGTTTCTCTGGGGCTAGAGAAAGTTTTTATTTTATTATTTCACAAACACTGTCTAGAATTACCAGAATTTCACCACATTGACCAGGCTGGTTATGAACTTGTGACCTCAAGTGATCCACCTGCCTCAGCCTCCCAAAGTGCTGGGATTACAGGTGTAAGCCATCACCCCAGCCACAAATTCACTTGTACCTGTATAGATTTCAGACAACTAGAATCTTTGTTCCCAGGTTAAAATCCTCAAGCTTGGTCCAAATAAACTGTCTACTTATATTCATGTTATGTCATCTGTTTTTCCATTTCTGTAAACTATTATCTAGAAGAGCAGCTTCTGTGAGGGGACCTCTCTTTCAATTGTACTTTACTTGCTGTAACACCCAAAAATGCAGAGTGAGGTTAATCCCACCCAGAATCTGCACATAAGTTCTGTCCTCTGCCTGGGATTTACAAGACAGGCCAAGACTTTGGATTGAAAATGTACAGAAAACTAACTGGAGGCATTTTCTGCATTGTGAAATGTCAACACAGACATCTTGAAGCCTCCCTTTGAGAGTGTGGCTTTTTGAGCTCTTCATATCTAGTTCGGTGACCTGCTACATGTTCTACATTCTGTGAGAGGTTCCGAGAGTAAATAGAATCTGATGGCCAAATCTGTAAATGTAAAGAAGCATCTTAGGAGTGAAAGATCAAGGCCAGAAAGTATCCAGAGCCATAACCACAGCTACACCTACCAGTAAAATGCAAGACTTGGGTAGAGTATTCTTGTCCTTCCTGTTACTCAAGAGCTAGAATCAGGACAGGTGATCCAGGTTCTGGAGCTCCACGAGAGCAGTTCCATTTTTTATTTAGAATCAGCCTGTCTCTTCTGCCTGGTTTATCATTGGGCAGTCAACCTAGGGTAACTGAGAACCCTCTCACAATTACCTAGCCATCTTTGAAACATTTGAGAATACATGAATGAACTAAGGTGGTATATAATGCTTCTTTAAAACAAAATTTTAAAAAATTCAATAAAGGAAATCTTTATCTTGTTTGAACAATGCATTCTGAAAAGGTTAAACTTCAGAAATTATTTAAAGGTAAATAAGATTGGCATCCATAAGGAATACTATTTATAAAATAAATGCAGTTATAGAGGCTACTTTAAAGAAGAATAAAATTTGGACTTCTGAGTATGATGAGTGCACAATAATGGACCACTGTCTTGGGGAACACAGTTTGGCATTACAGCACACAGACTGGCATCGTCTGTACATGGCGTTGCTCCATTTTTCTCAGAAAAAGAGTAGGTCCATTTTGTCAGCTGTTTTTTATTTGTTCCCAGGGAGCATAAATGCTTAACATCATTAAGAAGACAAAAATAAAATCTGAAGGAGGGCAGCCCTTTTCAACAGGAAGGCAGAATGTGGCTTATGTGTCTCTGTTTAGCACTGCCAGGCAGTTTGGCAGCAACTGTAGTTACCTTTTGCATGATTCAGTTCTAACTCTGCCAGTTCCAGTAATTTTTTCTGAATGCAGCCACGCTTCTTGTCTTAAAATCTATAAGTTCTTGTTTTGCAGACTGAGATTCTTTTTTTCAAATTTCTGACTACATAATTGTTAGAAAGTTTTAGCCAGCAGAACATCTTTATTTTTTGCTCTTGCTTTGTCCAGTGCTTTATTAGCATTTTCATAATCCACTAGTGACCTAGACCTTCAATACAGGGATCCTTAGCAGCTTGAGTGTCTCTTAAGTAATATTTTTAAGGGTCAGAAAGTTCGAGGGCCTCATCAGCGGACACTCACGCTTCTATTTTTCTTGTTTCATCAAACATTTCTGAAACTTTGAGAAAAAACTTTCATATATCTGTAGAATCCTAAGTTCCTAAAGCATATAATGAAGAACCAATTCTATTGTAATCATCTACAGCACTTTTGTGGGATCGTCATTCTACCAGAGTTAACAGATGCATCCTTAACTCAATTATGATATTCTAAAAGAAATGTTCGTTCATGTTCAAAGAAATTATCTACATCCTTTACTCCTGAAACAATTACTCCATCTGCTGATTTAACCATGTTTTTAAAGAAATCTTCAAGTTTCTCTTTTTATTTGTCCTCGCACACTAAAATCTTGATTATATTGCAAGAAGACATGGAAATTTAAATATTTTCTCAAAATAGGATGTGCTGTCACATGATATAGGAACACTTCATGGATCGCAACTGTCTTCTTGAATATTCCCAAATATTCAGCTTCCAGTTCCTGTTTCATCTTTGTGAATTCTTCCTTTGTCATTGACCCTTCTTCTGCAAGCTTCTGTACTTTTTCCCTTGAAGCATCAAAATCAGGTCTTGGTGGTGCTGGTGAAATGATGTAACCTGCATAGTCTTCATTTATAACAAAGGAATCGTGACGCCAGATAAATTGCTTGTGTTGCTGAACAACAGAAAACTCATTTTGTTTAAAATTTGGCAATAAACTTTTTGTGTGAACAGTGAATTTTACTTTATCCCACTCACTAAGAGCATCAGAGATGTCCACCTGCAGAGGAGGATCACTTTGAAGATCTACATTTATTGCTTTAAGTCCACAGTTCTCTTCCCGAGAGGAAGTCAGGGCCATCATCCAGGTCTTCCATCATGGCTGCTCCCCAGGATGATAGTTTGTGTAACAAACAGAGATATTGTCAGATTACGTACATCCATATAGAATAGGACATGATAGTATGCACAGCATATGCATGTAAACTCCCAAAATGTGATGTGAAGGTTGGCCTAACCAATTACACTGCAGTGTATTGTACTGGCCTGCTGCTGGCCTACAGACTCCTCAATAGGTCAAGATCTGTGACCTATGACATGGACAAGATCTGTGAAGGCCAAGTGGAGATGACTGGCAATGAATACAATGTGGAAAGCACTGATGGTCAGCCAAGTGCCTTTACCTACTATTTGGATGTAGGCCTTCCCAGAACTACCACTGGCAATAAAGTTTTTGTTCCTGAAGAGAGCAGTAGATGGAGGCTTGTTTATCCTTCACAGTACCAAACAATTCCCTAGTTATGATTCTGAAAGCAAGGGATTTAATGCAGTAGTACACCAGATGCACATCATAGGCCAGATGTTGCAGATTACATGCACTACTTAGTGAAGGAAGATGAAGATGCTTACAGGAAATTGTTCTTGCAATACATAAACAAAAGCATAACTCCAGACATGAAGGAGATAGATAAGAAAACTCTTGCTGCTATGTGAGAGAATCCAGTCTATGAGAAGAAGCCCAGGAAAAAAGTTAAAAAGAAGTGGAACCGTCCCAAAATGTCCGTTGCTCAGAAGAAAGGTCAAGTAACTCAAAAGAAGGCAAGCTTCCTCAGAGCTTATGAGTGGGCTTCTGAGAACTAAACCAAACAATTTTTAATGAGGCTTTTTCAGATGAAGAAAATAAACTTATTGACAGCAACATTTAAAAAGAAAAATTTATAAGCAGCAAAACATTCAAGAGATTACTTGGGTTCTCTTAAAGGCATTCAGTTTCAAAATGGAAACAGAGCATTAAAGTTTGGAAAATTTGCAGCCTGACAATGCAATAGAATAGAAAAGCTCATTTTTTGGAGGAGAAATATTAGCCAGCTGTGGGAAAAATGTCTCCAGGTCATGACAGAGATCTTCTCCACAGGCCCCTCCATCACAGGCCCAGAGGCCTAAAAGAAAAAGATGGCTTTATGGGTCAGGTCCAGGGCTTCCCTGCTCTGTGAAGCCTAGGGATTTGGTACCCTGTATTCCAGCCACTTCAGTCATGGCTAAAAGGGGCCAAGGTAGAGCTCAGGCTGTTGCTTCAGAGAGTGGAAGCCCCAAGCCTTGGCATCTTTTATATGGTGTTGAGACTGCGGGTTCATGGAAGTCAAGAATTGAGGTTTGGCATCCTCCACCTAGATTTCAGAGATATATGGAATGGATGTCCAGGCAGAAGGTTGCTGCAGGGGTGAAGCCCTCATGAATGAACATCTGCTAGGACAGTACAGATAAAATGTGGGGTTGGAGCCCCCACACAGAGTCCTTACTGGGGCACTGCCTTGTGGAGCTTTGAGAAGAGGGCCATTGTCCTCCAGATTCCAGAATGGTAGATCCACTGACATCTTGCACCATGTGCCTGGAGAAGCCATAGACAAGCTCATGAAGGCAGCCAGGAGAGAGTCTGTACCCTGCAGAGCCACAGGGGTGAAGCTGCTCAAGACGATGGGAACCCACCTTTTGCATCAGCATGACTCAATGCAGAACATCAAGTCAGAGGAGATCATTTTGGAGCTTTAAGATTTGACGGTCTTGCTTGATTTTGGATTGCATGGGGCCAGTAGCCCCTTTGTTTTGGCCAATTTCTCCCCTATGGAATGACTGTATTTACCCAATGCTTATACCCTCATTATATCAGGGAAGTAACTAACTTGCTTTTAATTTTACAGGCTCATAGGCAGAAGGGACATACCTTGTTTCAGATAAGATATTGAACTGTGGACTTTTGAGTCGATGCTGAAATGAGTTAAGACTTTGGGGTACTGTTGGGAAGGTATGATTGGTTTTGCAATGCAAAGACATTAGATTTGGGAGGGGCCGGGGTGGAATGACATGGTTTGGCTGTGTCCCACCCAAATCTCATCTTGAATTGTCATTCTCACAAGTCATGGTGAAAACATGGTGGGAGATGATTCAATTATGGGACTGGGTCTTCCCTGCACTGTTCTCGTGATAGTGAATGAATTTCAGAATATATGATGGTTGTAAAAATGGGAGTTTTCCTGCACAAGCTCTCTCTTTGCCTCCCGCTGTCCATGTAAAATGTGACTTGCTTCTCCTTGCCTTTTGCCATGATTGTGAGGCCTCCCCAGCCACGTAGAACTGTAAGTTCATTAAATCTCTTTCTCTTCCCAGTCTCCAGTATGTCTTTATCAACAGTAAGAGAACAGACTAATAAAACTAGCAACTGAATAAAAGGTTGAATTATGCATCATATAGTAGGTAAATAAATGTGTGCAAAAAACTTGGGCTTTATTTTGGCCATGTTCTTTATATTGTTGTGACTTTTGGTGTTTTTACCTGAAAGACTATTTCTGAACAGAAGAGTTGTTATTATTATTTGTATTTCTTTTACCTTACTAAAAACACATATTCATCTTTTAATAAAATTATCCTAGGAAACCTTAAATATTTGTTTAAATGGCTTATTAGTATATGATATGAAATTGACAGGAAAGTGGCTATAAAAGGTTTAAATTACACAAACTCTGAGATACAAATTTATCTTAGGTAAGCTTAGGAAAAACAAAACTGGAAATACCCACATTGGCATAGAGAACCAAATTCTAGCTAGGGTCCACTCCCTGTCCCAGTCCTGTTCAGATTCACTCCTTTTGAAGGTCTTATTTAGGTCTGGCCCTACCCTGGAGTCTCCCCTCACAGAACTGATTAGAAAACATCAGTTTTGGGTGATGAATCCTGTTCCACTTTTAGAGCTGGTGCTCACAATTTTCTGAAACAGAAAAGCAATACATTAGAAATATAAAGCATGGATTTTAGAGTCTTTTTAAAATTATTAAAACCAGTGCTTGCAGAGACATTTTATTTAGCAACTTGTTTTCCATTCCTGCAGAGCTAGTAGTTGCTCCCCAAGCCACAAGAAGTAAATATAAACACAATAAAATTTCCTGTAAGTTATATTAAACTCTTCATTTCTCTATTCCTCTCATCTGTTTAGGTTTAGCTTTTATTCTACACATTTTAAAAAATGGTCAATGACAGAGAAACAGAAAAAAAATCTGGGTCATTTTTCTAAATACTGGGGATTATTGAACACTTAGTATCAATACACAGGGTGTTATTAAGATTAAATTCTGTAATGTGCTATCACAGTGCCCTGCAGCATCTTATTGAGCATGTAGTACTTGAATAATAAACATTGCATTACTATATGTGTACATGTTGTTTTCTAAACGCAGACTTAAACATTGTTGCTTTCTAAATTCAAAAACAAAAAAACCAACAAAAAACATTGTTGCTTTGTTTCTTCTGTAAACTTAAAAAAAGCCAGCAAAGATTATAATACTTTAAGGTGGAGATTGGTTGTCCTTATTTATACCAAAAGTATTTGTGTTGTCACAAGAGTGCTGAGTGTAAGGAACTTGGTGCTGTGCCTACTTGCTCTAACTAATGCTAATAATGACCCCAGGTGGAGAAACATCAGCATTGATAGGAAACTTGTTTATAACACCCATTCATGTACCCTTTCAAAACCTGCAGAATCACATTTCATAGAATAGGGCCAAAATTACCAAGTGATTTGTAATCTTGTTAAAGTTGGAGAGGCAATGCTTAAATGGTTATAAGCCCAGGCTTCTAATTAGAATCATGTGACTCTAAGTTGAGGCCAGAATCAAATATGAGGGTTCAAGATACATTTATGATAATTAATTCTCACCTTTGCATTAACGGGTGATCCCAGAACCTGTTCCGTTTGGGTTTCTTAGGAACCGGGCAGTGTGGCCCACATTTTTATTACTGTAGCAGAAATTGCTGGTGTCTGTGGCAGGGGAGGACACCTGAGGACAGGAAAGGAGAAACTTATATTTTTACATCTGTGGAGCAGCTTGTTCCTGAATCTCTTCTGTTATAAAGGACAGAAATGGGTAGAATTTTTCTGTATTGGTCCTGCCTATGAGTGTGGTGGTAGCAGGTAAAGATGTGGTGCTTACATCTTTCAAGGCATATTCTCCAGATGCAGATGTAATTTTTTTCAAAATCTCATCTGAGAAGAAATTCCAGAGAAAGAGGAGAAGATAAAAAATGGATTTTTTGGTGGCTCAAGCCTATAATCCCAGCACTTTGGGAGGCCGAGACGGGCGGATCACGAGGTCAGGAGATCGAGACCATCCTGGCTAACACGGTGAAACCCCGTCTCTACTAAAAAATACAAAAAAAAACTAGCCGGGCGAGGTAGCGGGCGCTTGTAGTCCCAGCTACTCGGGAGGCTGAGGCAGGAGAATGGCGTAAACCCGGGAGGCGGAGCTTGCAGTGAGCTGAGATCCGGCCACTGCACTCCAGCCTGGGTGACAGAGCGAGACTCCGTCTCAAAAAAAAAAAAAAAAAAAAAAAAAAAAAGGATTTTTTTTCAGCTAAACATGCCTTGGAGTAAGAGTTGTGTCCATTCTGCCTGCTAGAATGCCATGCCTTTAGTACTTGCAAAACTTTAATTCTCTACTTGTACTTTTCCTCTTAAATGAGTTTGTTGTAACTACATTTTAAAATTCTTATAATTGTCAAGGATCTCTGAAAAATATTTCTTTCCTATGTACCAGAGCCTTCTCTACATTCTGTACTTCATGGTTTCTTATATGCCATGCAGTATTCTCACCTTGAATTTATAATCTGCATCATTAAAAATGTTCCCTTTGTGGCTGTTGAACATGGGACAGTGTGGATGCTCAAGATTCCTATTGGGGAAAAGCTGGGGTTCTTCATAAAAATAAAGACCATGTAATGTTGAGCTTCTGTCTCTGTTCTCCATCAGCTCTGTGTAGAAAAGGATTAAGAAAATGCTTATTTAAACAGGATGACATTTGTTACCCAGTAAGTTCTGAAAAAAATTATTAGGAGATACTTGTTCTCCAGGGTGCTAAAGAAAGACTATTTAAAATAACTATTAACTATTCACAATTATAGAACATGGGAGACATCTGTATTTTGAACTTTGCATAAAACTGATGTTTCTTTATAGTTAAATTCAGGCTATAATTTACTTTTGGAGGGCCAATATTACAACAGTGATGCTGTGTCCTGTGTGCATCTACACATCATAAAAATTGTCTTAGTCCAGTTGATATTAATAACTCAGTTGATTAATGAAGCTCTCTGACAGATTTCTTCAATATGGAGTTAATTATTTCTCTCTTCATTAGTAAGTTTCTTTATGCAGCTGATGTGCAGAAAGCATCACATTTAATCTGGCAGCTGCCCTTCTTTCTCATGTTTTCTTTGTCTTTATCTGCCTTTGGAAAATGAAAGCTCTAATCTTTGTTACAGGCCAGAAAAACTGGAAAAAAAAGACCACAGACTCTTCCAATTACTCCAATTTGACAAAATAGCCTTCTTAGGCCATAAATATTGGCATCACCGGTGATCTTGGTTTTTTTGTTTGTTTGTTTGTTTTTCAGACAGAGTTTTGCTCTTGTTGCCCAGGCTGTAGTACAAGGGCACAATCTTGGCTCACCACAACCTCTGCTTCCCAGATTCAAGCGATTCGCCTGCCTCAGCCTTCCCAAGTACCTGGAATTACAGGCATGTGCCACCATGCCTGGCTAATTTTGTGTTTTTAGTAGAGACGGGGTTTCTCCATGTTGGTCAGGCTGTTCCCCAACTCCCGACCTCAGGTGATCCGCCTGCCTCAGCCTCCCAAAGTGCTGGGATTACAGGCATGAGCTACCGCACCAAGATCCAGAAACTCAGGCTTTATTCCAGACCTTCTGTCACAGACTGCATTTACAAGATCTTCAGTTTATTGTACACATTAACATTTGTGCAGTACCTTCTAACTCAGTATGAATTTTCCATCTGAAAAGTTTACACAACTCTTTCTGTATGATGTAAATATAGCACTCAAAAATGTACATGTTACTGTTCATGTCCTACTTCATCATCTGGAAAAGTATCATATATACACTGATATTTTGGATCTTATGCCACTCTCTTTTCTCAGAGTTAGAGTATACATGAGAGAATATTTCTGTGTTGAAAGTTATTAGATAATTTCAGTCACCCCTATACGTAAGACCTAGTTATCTTTACTCTTATTTCACCTTGAGTCAAATTTAAAATTCTGCCCATGGCCACTTGGTAAATATGTGTGTGTGTTTCTGTGTTTCAGGGAGCGTTGACATTTAGAGATGTGGCCATAGAATTTTCTCTGGAGGAGTGGCAATGTCTAGACACTGAACAGTGGAATTTATATAGACATGTGATGTTAGATAACTACAGAAACCTGGTCTTCCTGGGTGAGGATAACCTTAATACACAATTGCTAATATACCTTATAAGTTTCATTTATTTTTGTAAAAATGTTATGCTTTCAGATCCCGGGTGTTTTTTTTTGTTTTGTTTTTTTTGTTTGTTTGTTTGTTTGTTTTTTATCTTCAGGATTTTTCTATGTAGAATAGAATTTCAAAATGTTTTATTTTGACCTTTACTTTCCACTTTCCTGAGCTGATTTGTTTCCTTCACTCTAGATTAGGGTTAATTTTAGAAATTTAGTTGCAACTTATTATTGCCCACATCTTAAAATTTCATTACCACCACCAATTCTTGAATTAGTACAAGGTAGTTAAATTAAGAACCTATAAAATTAAAATATTTTTAAATATTTAGCAATTTTTCTTTATTTTGTTAATTTTTTAATTTTTTTGGAGACAGAGTCTCTGTCATCCAGGCTAAAGCACAATGGCACAGTCTCAGCTCACTGCAACCTCTGCCCCCTGGGTTCAAGTGATTCTCCTGCCTCGGCCTCCTGAGTAGCTGGGACTACAGGCATGTGCCACCACACTTGGCTCATTTTTTTGTATTTTTAGTAGAGACAGGGTTTCACTATGTTGGACAGGCTGGTCTCGAACTCCTGACCTCGCTCTGATATGCCTGCCTCAGCCTCCCAAAGTGCTGGGATTAAAGGCATAAGCCACTGTGCCCAATATATTTAGAAATTTGTTATAAATTATTATTTTGGGGTTGATTTACTAGAATATTCCATTACATTATCTTTACTGAGAGCATTACTAAGTTGGTAATTGGAGAATATGAGCAAAATTCATGTTATTTTTCATAAAACAGGTATTGCTGTCTCAAAGCGAGACCTGATCCCCTGTCTGGAGCAAGAAAAAGAGCCTTGGAATGTGAAGACACATGATATGGTAGCCAAACCCCCAGGTAGGTGAGAGTAAATACAATAGACAAGACTGATAAGAGATCTATAGTTTAAAAAAAAAAACAGTTTTAAAAATAATTTGGGAAGCTGTTTTACTAAGGAAATTGTTTCTGTTTCTTTTTATATTGCTTTAAAAAAATTTTTTTTTCCTCCCACATAGAAGCATCTTTTGCTTTATCTTTATTAAATCTCTAAAAATTCTTCTTTCCCTTTGGTAATCTTACTTGAAGTTTACAGTGAGAGCCAAAGTCCATTTCATGGCATATAATAGACTACACAATCTGACTGCTTTTCCATTGTTTCTGGAAATACACAGATATTTGCATAATTTTGAGAAACTTTATGTCAAACTATTTTTATTTTATTTATTTATTTATTTTTGAGACGGAGTCACACTATCGCCAGGGCCGGAGCGCAATGGTGCGATCTCGGCTCACTGCAACCTCTGCCTCCCAGATTCATGTGATTCTCCTGCCTCAGGCTCCTGAGTAGCTGGGATTACAGGCATGCACCATGACACCCAGCTAATTAAACTATTTTTTAAGTTCTCTTTTTGCATTATGGCTGAAATATGTGAGAGTAGTGGTTTCTGTTTCATTTGTTATTTATTTATTGCTAATTTTCTACACATTCCATGCTGTTTTATTACTATAGTTTTGAAATATAGTTTGAAATTATACAGTATGATGTCCTCTTGCTATTTTTTTTTCTTTCAAGATTGCTTTAGCTATTCAAAGTTTATTGTAGTTTTATGTAAATTTTAAAATCGTATTTTCTATTACCTTAAATAACTGGAATTCTGATGGGAGTTTATTGAATCTAGAGACACCTTAGATGACAAGGCACTTTAGCCTGGGCACGGTGGCTCACACCTGTAATCCCAACACTTTGGGAGGCCAAGGCGGGCGGATCATGAGGTCAGGAGTTCGAGGCCAGCCTGGCCAACATAGTGAAACCCTATCTCTACTAAAACTACAAAAAGTTAGCCAGACGTTGTGACAGGCGCCTGTAATCCAAGCTACTTGGGATGCTGAGACAGGAGATTTGCTTGAATCCAGGAAACATAGATGGCAGTGAGCCAAGACTGTGCCACTGCACTTGATCCTGGGTAAGAGAGCAAGGCTCTTGTCAAAAAGTAAAAATAAAAAATAAGACACTTTAGCAATATTTATTTTTTTCAATTAATAGACAAAATATTTTTAAATTTATTTGTGTCTTCTCTAATTTTTTTAATTGATATATCTTTCATTTAAAATATTTTTTAGTTCCTTGATTAAATTTGTTCTCAGAAATTTATTTTAGTGCTATTGTAAATAAGATTGCTTTCTTTCTATATTTTATCAGATAGTTTGTTTTAAGTGTTTGGAACCATAATGTATACTTGTATGTTAATTTTCTATTTGCTAATTTATTGAGTGTAATTATAACTTTAATCAGGTTTTAATGTACTGTTTATGGTTTTTTATATATAAAGTCAAATGCTCTATAAACAGCAACTTCTTACTTGTCTTCAGTTTCAGTGACTTTAAAACTTTATTTTGACTAATTTTTCTGCCACATACCTTCAGTGCTATGTTTAAGTAGAAGCATTGAGAATGGGCACAATATGGTTTTGCATTGGTCTCTGTGAATTTTAAGAAGCAAACACCTCCTCAAGTTTTTATAAACTGGCTTTAGGATGTAAAGATATTATTTTGTTGGGTGCCCAGAGTGATAGAATGCCCTCTGGGCTTGCAGTGGAGAGGGGTTGTAGCTTGGTCACAAGGCTGCTGGGTCTTCACTAGGGTCCAACTTTAGTTGACTTGTTACAAGGGGCTTGGGTAGTTGTAATTCCCATTATATTTTTGGCAGAGTGAATATCCTTTAGGACTTCACTCTATAGGGTAAACACTAGGGCAGGTTTCTGCAGTTGGTTATACATATATGGTGGACTTTATATCAAAATGTAGATGAAAATGGTTTTCACTGGGTACCAGAAAGGATTTCTCCAAGTCTCTGTATGGGTTTCCATGTAGGTAGAACTGGCCATGAACTGTGACTCAAAGAACTGGAACTGAGTCATGGAAGTGCTTCAGGGCAGACAGTAAGGACCAAGGTCTGCAGTCTTGTCTGCGTGGCTATAAATGAGTGTCTTTCTCCAGGCCTCTGAAAAGGCAGGACCTCTTCCAGTCCTTGGCTGGGAAGAGTTTTGGATGGTTTCCTGAGTAGCTGGGATTACAGGCACCTGCCACCATGCCCAGCTTGTGTTTTTAGTAGAGACAGGGTTTCACCATGTTGCCCACGCTGGTCTTGAACTCCAGGGCTCAAGCAATCCACCCGCCTCAGCCTCCCAAAGTGCTGGGATTACAGGTGTGAGCCACCGTGCCCGGCAATTGGTTTAATTCTGTAACTTTTTGATGTGTGTTTAAATCAGAAACTATAAAGCCTCCAACATTGTTCCCTTTTTTTCTTTTTTTTGAAGATTGCTAAGTACTTTATTGTCTGTTGAGATTCTACATAATCGAGGGGTTGCTGTTCAAAAATGCAATGAGAAATTTGAAAAACATTGTATTAAATCTGTAGATTACATTGAGCAGGATGGACATATTTACAATATTATCTATTTCAGCCTTTCCACGAGAGCACGCTCAAGAGTGTGTTGTTTAATTTTTATATATATTTGTGAATTTTTTCGTTTTTTTCTCTTATTATTTATAGTCTCATTCCATTTTGGTCATATAAAGTAATTTATAAAATTTTAGTTTTAAAAAGTGTGGTAAATTTTTTTTTGGCCTAGGAAGTTGTCTATCAAGGAAAGTGTTCTATGAGCTATTGATAAAAGTGTGTATCCTAAGGTTGTTGAGGGGTGCCCTCTATACCTTTGTTAGGAATAATTGTTTTATACTCCCTCCAAGTTGTCTGTTTTCTTACTAATATTCTGTCTTGTTTTATTTTTATTACAGAAAGTGCAATATTAAAATATACTATAATTATATTGCTCTCTATGTATTTCTGTCAATATTTGCTTTATATGTTTGGAGCCCTAATGTGAAATATATGTATACACACACACACACACACAGAAACACACACACACAGAAACATACGTGTATATACAAGTGTGTCATAGGCTCCCAGTGAATAAATCTATAATTTTTTAAGGTCTTATTTTGTCACTTTAGAGTTTTGACTTCAAGTACATTTTATAAAATATGACAGTTTTTGACTTAAGATGTAGCTTGTATAATATTATTTTGGCCTCTTCTGCTCTCATTTGATTAATATTTGCGTACTTCCATCTTGTCTGAAGCGGGAGAATGGTGTGAACCCCGGGAGGTGGAGCTTGCAGTAAGTCGAAATAGTGCCACTGCACTCCAGCCTGGATGACAGAGCGAGAATCTGTCTCAAAAAGAAAATATATGTATCTTTTTATGTGGTATATTCATTAACAGATGTTTATAATAATTGCTATGCTTTTATCTTTCAGATTTTAGAGAATAATTTAAAATGTTTTCTGCACCATTATGATAATGCTACAAAATCCTTTTTTTATGTATGTGCATATTTTTCTCAAAAAGTAATTTATTTTTATTTATTTGGTGTTTTCTTGAATCCTTTTATTTTCCATTTAAGGAACTGCTTTCAGCATCTTTTATATGTTCATGCAGTTTTATAAGTACATGCAGTGCCAATATACCTTTTCAGAATTTGGCTATTTTGGAATATCGTTTTTTCATTTTTCAGGACAGATTTGCTGATGGTATTACTCTCACTTGAAAACTATTTTTTTTGCCAGTACTTTGACTACATCTCACAGTTTTTCTTTCTGGCCTGCAAAATTTTTGTTGACAATTCACTGGTTATATCATAAGACTATGTTTGTATATGACACATCAGTTTTATATTGCAGCTCCCAAAATGCTCTGTCTGTGAGTTTTGAAATTGTGCTTATATATGTATTTTTTATAAATATCTTTGTATGTATCCTAGTTTGTTTGTAAGCTTCTTCATGTTTACATTATTTTTCTTACTGAGGGATTTTTCAGTTATTATTTCTTCTTGTATTTTTTACTCCCATAATTTCTATTTTCAAATTTTTTC